ATCTCCCACCAGCCATGCTTTAGGCGGAGTGTTGGTGTCTGTGGCCTTCAGGAAGAACAGAGGCCGAGAGGCTGACCAACAGGTAGGCAAGCACAGCTCATCCGTCTGGGCAGTGGAACTGGAAAATGGATTTGGGCAACAGATGCATTTGTTGCAAAGACACATAGATTTTTCTGTTGACTAGGATTTGGTATCTTTTTGGTGACTGGTCAGGGTAAACCTCACTGAGATGTGGAGGACCCATTCAAATGTGTGAATTTTTTCATACATCTAAACTTTTCAGGTTATTCCTGTGTGCTGTTAGTGGTGAACAGTGCAGAGTTTGTTGAATTTATCCCACGCATTGTACTTTTTCAAGACAGCAGTATAGTTTAGGAGAATTTAAGTACAGGTGAGAATGCAAGTTTGATTTGTATCATGCTATTCCAGTGACACGTGCTGGAATGAGCTAGAATGCATATGATAAAGCAGCCACTGAACTCAGTGTAATGTTCTGAAAAAGATAATATTTCAGGCTAAAGCAGCATGTACCACTAACTAGTAAAAAGCAGAGGCTGATCTTTTTGTAAACTGAATTCTCTCTATTTTTATAGAGAGTTTCTGGTTTTTTTTGTGGTTATACCTGCATTTAGTGAAACATATTAGTTGATACATCATTAAGTTTACATATGTAATCTGGATCCTTGGAGCTAGATGAATATGTTAGTGCCTAGTGTGTATGCCCAGAGGATTAGTTTTACACTGATTGTACAAACAAAATCAAAACAAATTTTTTTTTCCTTTATACTCCATGATTATTCCATTGTTTTGCTGTTGAATTAATGAATGTTCAGTGTAAAAATTACAACAGAAGTATTAGATGCCACTGAAAGGGAAACTCCAGAGTACTTTATAGATAGTTCGTTGTTTTTTTTCTTGTTCCTTTGTGATTATGAAATGCTGTATTATCAGGAAGGTGAGAGAAAATGCTAACGGCAGCTCTTGCAACCAGGACACAGACTCATTTTAGTCACTGGTCTTTGTGCAGATGCCTGCTCTTGAATTCGCTCCCTTTCTATTTGGTGTTACAAATGGTTTGCAGTGCTTTCAAAGTTCAAGAATATGTGGCCTCAGTTACATGGGTATATTCTGTGAGAATTAATAGTGCCAGTGGAACTCAGAGTTGATAAATGCTACTATTACTGTACAATTACATATTAAATGTTACCTGCATTACCCTCTCAGGCCAATACACTGCACTCCCAGGGAAGAAACACATAACACGACGTGAAGAAAATGAGAACATATTTAAATAGGATGTCTCCTGGATGGTCTAGGGAGAGATTAAATGGGATTTCAGCTTAAGTCTTGTGTAGGTAGATATGCCTGTGAAGAATTAACAAAATGGGAGACGTAAAGGGATTTGCTTAGCTTGCCATTTTTCCTCCAGCTGGTAGACTCTGTTATATCATTTCTAATATAACACTGAATATTGTTCTCTGTTTTAGTTTGCTTTTAGTTTCTTTGAGAAAAAGCCTTGCTTTCTTTTCCTCTTGCTGTTTCTTTCAAACAGTGCCCAACTAGTTGACTTACGAGAGGAAAAAGTACTTTGAAATACAGTGCGTAAATAAACAAGAGTAGTAAGGCTTTTTATGTGTTTTCTCCCTGCTAATTTCTTCTGGTGATTATTTATAACTATATGAAAGCAGTATCTATCTGCATGAGTATGAGAAGACACACCTGATTTAGTTGTGCATATGAAGAAAGCGAAATATACAGAATATTTCTCTTTAATTTCTGATTGAAATCCACTGTGCGTTGTTGTTCTCCTGTTAGTAATGCGCAGACAAAAGAACAGGCTGTCAGCAACAACATTTCCTTAATTTGTATTTCAGAGGGCAAGCATGTAGAACACATATTTTATGGATGTGTATGTGCACAGATGAGTTCAGATCGGTTGTCATGTGTAGTGATATAGTAAAGCTCCTGATGGAGTGAAGCAGAGGGAAATCCCAACAGTATTACAATGCGTAGGTTGTGTTTACAACTGAAGTAAACCTTTAATATGTGAAATGAGCACTTGTTGTTTGTAGGCACACAAAATACAGTGTGAGCACTGTCACCATCATTTCTAGGGAAAGCAAGGAGTTGTAATTAAGAGGCTGTAGGACACATGGCATGTGAAGGAGGTAACCAGGGCACAGCTGGCTTTGAGAGTTGGGTTAAAAGGCAAGATATTCTCTGTATGAAGGATTAGGCTCACACCAGATTCCCATTACTGGTGGAATAAAACTTCTTTGTTTATAGAAACAAAGCAGTTTGAGTTGATGGGCTTGATGGTGGAAGCCAAGTATTGATTATCTTTTTCTAATTTATTATTTATAATTTAGAAAGTTGTTGTTTATTTTACTCTACGTTATCTTTCAAAAATACTATTCATAAAAGGTGATTGAGCAATGTCTGGAATATGGATTTACAGAATTTTTTGTCCATCATAGGAAAAAAAATATATGAAGAAAAGAAAATGGATTCCATTTTGGCCTGTTCAACCTGCTGTATGTTTTAGAAAATAGTCCGTTCTTAGGAGCTCAGTTTGTACTGATAATCATAAAAGTGATTTTGAGGGGGGAAAGAATGTGTCAGAAGCACTTTCTGGAAAATGTAATTAGCAAGACTAAATACCACTTCTCCCTTAAAAATCAAATCATAGCAAAGCACCCTGCAGAGAGAACTGTTCCTAAACAACTGCCAGAGTCCAGCCAAGGAATATACAGATGTGTGTCTGAATGGGGAGAGACGTTGTTGAATTCACACATATCTTTATTGTGTGAACAACGTTTTTTTAAATTCATGTGTGTGTTCTCAGTGCACTGTTTGAGAAGTAAAAAATGTTTTGCCAATTCAGTACTTGCAACAGAAGGTACATAGTAAAACGTGTAATAAATTGCGTCTTAGAACTCAGGATCCTGATACACTTCCTTTGACTTGAAAGACAAAGTGAGGCTAATTGTGAATTATTTGAAGCTATTGTGGGCTGCATCAAATTTCTTTTTTAGGTATTTTGGTGAATAACGACAGGAGCTGCTACTTAGGGTATTTTATTAATACTATTTATGTCCTTAGGAGCACAGAAACATGAGAAAAAGAAATATGAGTGGTTGCATTTTGCTGGTGTAGTGTAATTTAAACTTTTTCCTTTAAGACAGTGAGTCCCACCTGATTTTTTTTAATGAGCCGTACCTTTAATGTCCGTAAGGAAAGACCTTAGGAAAGATTGAAAGAATGTAGAATATATGAATAACACAGCAACCTCACTGATGATATGTTAAAAAGCTGTGTTTCCCTAGCAGAAGAATAATCATGTTATTATTTGAAATTTGAAAGTTGTGAAGTTTTAAAAGTAATAAAAAGCAAATCAGATTCCATCATGGGTGTGCTTTGCTTCTTAATTAGAAGATGTTTTATCAATGACATTTACATCTTTTTCACTGTTGGTGTCCATTCCACTTCTGCCAGCAGCCTTGTTTGTTTTTTTGTTTTTTTTTAACAGCTCTCACAAAGGAAGAATGAGAAAATGCATTTCTGTATAACATTCTGAAGAAGTATAAAGTGAGAGTTCAGAAAAAGGAGGATACCATATTTGAACATAAATTAATTCGTAGATTGTTAGATTTTTTTCATTGTAGATATTGGCACTGGGTTATTCCTTGAAGCAAGATTTTTTGTTTGTTTTTCCCAGCACCTTTACAGACCTGAAGATGATGGAAAACACCATTATTGTAGTGTGTCCTTACTTATCAAGTGTAGTTCCAGTTTCCTGAAACTGAAATTACCTTCACAACAACTTTCTAATAGGGGCAGGTTTATTTTTGCTTGGATGTTTGAAGTAATTACATAAATAGCAAACATTTTTGTCTCTACAATTGGATTTTGCAACTCAGTGATGTATTATTAAATGTGCTGGGCAGTTATGATACAACCTCTGAACAGTTCTGAAAGGGAGTTTCAGATTATGTGGATAATGTGGATGTTTGGTGGCCCTGCTATGCAGGGGGGTTGGAACTACATGATCCTTGAGGTCCCTTCCAACCCAGGTGATTCTGTGATTCTGTGATTCTGTGATTATCCTTAGTTAACAAGACATAGTGTAGAAGGTAGGTGATTTTTTCCCACCAGCTGATTTATTGCATGGAATGCAACAGAATTTCTTTACTTCAGATACTTGTACCTGAATCTTCTAGCAGTAAGAAAACAGTTTATGAAAGCCAGAATGTTTAAATTGCATACTTGTTGCAGAGATCATCAGAATATTTTATTCTTTATATGAAGTCTAATGTGTTTTGGAGAGAAGAGGATTCATGATTTGGTTATCAACACATACAGATTTTTCACTCAGATTCTTCACTCATACAGATTTTATTAAATAGTGGACTGGACATTTAATGTGCCAAGACTGTATAGCATAAGTATTTTGATGCCTTAGCCTGTTGTGCTGCATGCTCACCCGAATCACACAAAAAACTACAGATTTTTGCTTTTCTTACAGTCCTCTTGTTAGCGTAAAAGTGCATGAGCTATGCTGTTCTTGAGTACCTTCTTCCACAAGGGAGAGTGTTTGAAATAGTTATAGTGAGAGTCTAGAATTCAGGAATTGACGTTTTTCCAGGTTTTTAAGTAGTGAATATTTATATATATATATATATATATATATATATTTTTTTTTTTTTTTTTTTAAATCAGCATATCACTGGAAAAACATCTTACAAGAGAAAAATAAGTGAGATTCTGACTTATGCCTGAATATAACCTGAGCTCTAAATGTTATGGTTAAAAAGCTCTTGTAGATTAGACCTTATCTTAAAATTGCCTTCCATCTTGTATGAAATCAATTATGAGTTGGGATGTTATCTTTAACACCTCAGTGGAATTTGCAAATATATCACTACTTAAGTTTTACATTAGGTTTCTGGAGACATGGAGAATAAAAGTGATTCTGAACAAAATTATTTTCTTTCTTTTAGGTTCACTGATAAGATGCAAACCAGAATCTGCCTATTGGTAGTCTTTCCAGATATGATTCAGAGCTAATAAGAGAGACTGAGAAGTACCATGACTCCAAACAGAATCATTTTGGTAAGTCAGTCTCTGAAGTCCGCTAAGAGTTGAGAGCATGGTCCTTCACATGAGCAGATCTTTTTTCTGTTCCTTCATAGTTAAAGTATACTTTTAAGAAACATTGCTAAAAACACAAGCCATTTACATTTTGTGCAGTGTTCATGCTGCCAGAAAACTGGAGAATAAAAACCAGCACATTCCTGAAAGATAGTGTAGAATCATAGAATCATTAAGGTTGAAGTCACCACTAGCATCATGCGGTCCAACTGTCAACCCGTCACCATAAACCATGTCACTCAATGCGACATCTGCCCTTTCCTTGAAAACCTCCAGGGATGGTGACTCCTACCTCCCTGGGCAGCCTGTTCCAATACCTCACCACTTTTTGAGAAATTTTTCCTAATATCCAACCTGAACCTCCTCAGACACAACTTACAGCTGTTACCTCTTGTCCTATCACTAGTCACATGGGAGAAGAGGCCAACTCCCACTTTACTACAATCTTTCAGGTAGTTGTAGAGAGTAATAAGGTCTTCCCTGAGCCTCCTCTTCTCCAGCTGAGCAATCCCAGTTCCCTGAGGTGCTTCTCGTAAGGCTTCTGCTCCAGACTTCGCCAGCTTTGTTGTCCTTCTCTGGTCATACACCAGGGCTTCAACGTCTTTCTAATAGCGAGTGGCCCAAAGCTAAACGCGTTATTCAAGATGCAGCCTCATCACTGCTCAGTACAGTTATACTTAATTAGAACATCCTGCCACATCCTAAACTTCTAGAAAACTTCACAGCACTTCAGCATTGTGTTCTGGTTTTGGTCAAATGACACACAATGCTCTTTGTATCTTTCCACATTCTTTCAGAATTAATTATTTGATGTTTCTGTTACATCTTTTTTGGTAAGCCTACATTCCTCTGCATGTCAGGAAGAATAGTCTTATAGTCAAACTCTACTGAATAACTTCATCTGCTTTAGGAGATTCTCATTGCATTCAGAACTATGTATTGGCTGCTATACAGCAAATTTTAAATAAAGCTGGTTCCACAACAGAAATCTAATAGTTATGTATTCACTATCTAAATATGCTTTACAGGCTTTTGATCTCCTTCCTGAACTCTTAAAGGCTTAATTTTTAATGTGGTAACCATATGGTTTTTAATACTATTAGTTCTTAAGTGTACTGGTCTCTCATTCTAGCATGCACAGTTCCTTTACACCTCAGGGAAGGTTTGATTGTGTTAATACAGCTAACAGTGTAGCTTGACTATATTAAAGCCTTCTAATGTGTTTAAAAGGGATGGAGAGGTCAAACTTTTTTCCCTTTACACTAGTTCTGATCTGTATTTTTACATACTTACATTGAAGTATATTACATAATATATACGGGTGATTAAGAGAAAAAGCTGTGCCACTTTTATGTCCCTGGAAGGTCGGGTGCAAGTATGTATTTTGCATATGAACATGTAGATATCACCTAAAGATAAATTGAGTATAGGCAGGTAGAAGATGCTTGAGTGTGAGTTAGAGAGCCCAGGTCTTTAAGCAAAATAGCTCTATTTAAGAAACATTTGGATAAATCCTTCCTTACTTTTCCTCTGTGCAGAACTCTTATGCAAGTATCTACTCACCTCACCCTTTTCCAGAATTTCTCTTCATCTCCTGTTTTGATAACTACTACACTTCATTGGTGTTCTTTACCCGCACTGGGCCAAAATAGCAAGTAGAGACTTCTGATTAATGATTAATGATTGCGTCTCTTATTACTGACTTCTTTGTAAAAGCAGTAAAGAACAGATTATGTCTAGCATTGTACCATTGTTAAGGCATGAGAGTTTCTTCCTGCAATTCCTAGCCTTCTGATTTTGTTTTAGTCACAATGTTCTCTACCTCACTCTAGTGGACATTTTGTATCCTCTGAATTGCTGTGCACGTGGAGTTCCTTGCCTGTACGTGCTTTATCTGTCTAAGTAGAGTCACGGAAAGCATCTTATGAACCTTAAAATGATGCTTCTTGGCAATTGGAAGAGTGTACCTGACATACCATAATTTGGGATGCAAGCTGAAGAACAGACGCTAGCTAAGAAGAGGGATTTCCAAAATATTGGTGTATTTCTTGTGGTTCACATGTGAGAAAAAGACATTTGAGAAGTGCATCCAATGCAAATACAGAGCCTGGGTTAGAATTGGAAACATCTGTAATCCCTGTCTCAGTGAGGCACAGCTGTAGTAGCACATTGAGTACTACTCTGTAGCACAGTGGTAGAGCTGTAGCTCTATTTCTGTAAGGGTACCACTGCAGCAAAATAAATTGGGCAGCTCCTGATCTAAGGTATTAGTATTCTATCATGATGCTCTTCTGACAGCCACACATGAACGTTACATTACTAGTGCATCAGAAAAAAGGTCATAGTAGCTTAAATAAATAACATTGGTATTTTGCAAATGAGCAATTAAGTTATGAAGCTTATTTTCATATCACTGCTGGCATTGATCCTGCTTTGCATTACTTAACACCTAACACTCCAGAGTTTAACTCCTAATACTAGAATTCTTTTTGTCAAGTATGCAGTGTAGTTTTGTTGTGGTAACATCTGTTGTGACCTCCTAAAGCACGGGCAGAGCTGATAGGTGTAAAGTTCTGCACTTAACTACCATGTAGTTAGCTTGGTTGTCTTCAAAGTCTCTCTCTTTGCTCAGTCCATTCCTCTCTTGCACCATCCCTTCAGCAGCAGTTTCCTTTGATTCCTCGCACAGAAGCGTGGTGTCAGTGCAATTCATGCCCTCTGCAGTAGCTGATTTCTATCTCGACTGGCTTTTCCAAGACTGTGGAAACATTTGCTACCTTCTTTACCTCCTTATTCATATCTCCGAAGTAGGACACTACATGAGATAATTGGCTTGACCCATTACAGAAGTCACCACAGTGGAGAGTGGTAAGCCTAACCTTTGAAGTGATAGAAATTAGTCGAGAAGTGATAGTGTCCCTTTATGCTGCAGTTTATCAGAAGGGATTCCAGGAGGGAAAAAGTTAAAAAAGAAATCTTGTCAAAATCAGAATTTTTTTTTAAATGCATGATTCAGTGTTTACTGTAAAGTTCTTTTTTTTGTTTTACTACAGACCGAACAAGGAAGGAAACAAAACATTTGAGCTCTCTGTGTAAAGGCAGCTACTTTCTCTGTGCCTTTTTCTTTCCTCTGTTTAATTCCCAATACCCTAGAGATACAGTTTCCTCCCTTAGCAAGGACTGTGACCTTAAAAATAGCCAGTTCCAAAATAAACACAGCAAAAAAAACCAAAACAACAAAACACTTCAATTGTTTTACATTTATGGTAAGTACTCAAAACTGTGTCCTTGCTAAAGCTGAAATTCATAAACTTTTGAAGCTTTTGTTTCTCTGAGACTTTTGTTTCTCTGAGAAATCCATTAAAACCTTGGATGCCATTTGCCAGTGGTTTGTCTCTGTCCTTACCACTGCAGCAGTTTCCAGAGGACACACTTTGACTTTGACTCGGTGCTGGATGTGCTCACATCACACAGGAAAGGGGTGATCACAAGGCCTCCTCATTGGCTCTTCTGTATGAGCTTGTCTCATGCTAGTAAGCATCGCTGCTGCTCAAGGCCAGCTGGATGACTCTTCAAAAAGAAGCTTGTCCTATCACTTTTGCTTCTATTTTTAAAATTGTTCTCTGTTGCATGAAAGAGGAGGTGGTCCCACCCAGGTTCCCTGTCTGGATTGAGGCTTTGGTAGTCACTCTGTCCAGGCAGACTTTGGGCTGTCTCATTGCCACCACTTCCTTCACTTCCATCTGCAATTGGACCGGAGTTCACAGTTTATACAAAAGCCTTTTCCAGGGAACTTACCTCGTGGGGGAAAAAGCCTTTCCCAGCTCCCTTTTGTTAAGAGCTATACTGATTATTCAGGAGCCATCCAGTGGTGTGCAATGATAAGGACAGAAGGACAGGAGAAAGGACTTTCAAGTCCACCAAATAAATCCCCTCTGACAAGCAAGATGAATATTTTCCATGCCTGGACAGTGAGCTGTTGTCCTTATGCTTTTGCATGGATAAGTTAGTCAAGTCTTACAAATGCAGCTCAGTGAGAAGTGTCTTCTATCTTTGTTAAGAAAGGCTGTTTAAAACAAGTGAAAATTTATGAGTAACAAGCTCTTGGATCTTCAAAAGCATTTCAAGTAGTACTTGTGCAGACTGTCACAAGATGCGAGCATTCCCTGTGCTTTTCAAGGCCTGAATTCATAGTGCAGGAGTGAGTTTTCTACCTCTTCCCGCATGAATATGCCAAATCAGTGTAGCACAGAAAATATTTGGGCTCTTGAGTACTTTCCTCTGAATATAGTCTTAAATCTTTAATTTAATTAGAAAAAAAGTGCAAAAGCATTTTGAAGTCTGAGAGCAAGACTATGAAACTTTTCTGATTAATGCAGACAGCTTGGTTCTTTTAGGTGTAGGAGAAAGAGAAACAGCCAGCAAATGAGCTGGGGGAAGCAGCAAATGAACATTTTGTGTATTTTTCCATCTAAAATGTAATAGTTTCTGAAGGTTTTTTAATCCATCATGTTAGCCTAATCTCCAGGGAGCTCATTTTGAAATTAAATATACCAAAGCATTTATGATTTACAAAGAGGGAAAAAATACAAGCCTTAAAAAATATCATGTGTTTGATCTGTTTGTCGCTATGAAAATATTGACAAAAGGCAAAAGAATGGCCTTCATTTAGATTATTATTCTTGGCTTGCTTTAATGCTTTCTTATTAAGGGCAAACTCCCATTTAGATGTGACATTAACTCTTTCACTATTGCAAAGAAAGAAGAAACTGAAAATTTGAACATAAAACTCATGAGAGTAGCAATTCTAACCCAAGTAATTTGTACGTGATTCCTACTCAGAAACATCTGACGTATCAGAAGGAACCTTTGAAAAGTTAAAATTGTGTATGGAATAGATTATGCAGTGTGTAGGCTTCAAAATATCTTTAAAACCCAATCTGCTCTGTAAACTTAGAAAC